TAGTATCACCACGGAAGCCTGAAATGAGTTTAGATGGTACATAAGCCAACATTTTAATTTTAATAATGATTAAATGATTTTATCATTACCTTCTATGAATGGCAAGTGATGTTAGTTTTCCACTCATTGTAATACTTTGCAAAATCAACTTATTTAACTAAAAGTATGTTCAAGTGGTTTGTGAATGTGACAAAAATTATAAAGCTCATATGTGTACAGGTAACTTGTTAGTAAGGTGCTTAAGAGCATGGATTGGGAAGCCAAATACCCTAGCTTTAAATGCCAAATCCTCCACTAATTCCTTGTGTGTCTTTTTACAGGATTCTTATCCTCTTTCCACCTCAGTTACCTTATCTGAAGAATGGAGATAGTAACACTGTTGGTCTGAATGGGGTGTTACTGAGCTTAAATGGTTTGGTATATGAAAAGCTCTAAGAATATAGTGCCCACACATAGGAAGAACTGCATCAGGTCTAATTCACTTTAGTATTATCTAGAACACAAGTGTTTGAGGACATTTTATCCTGTGTTTTTTCTTTCTCTCTATCCTAGCCTTTGTTTCCCTGCTTACTCAGGCCAACATGCTCCAGCTCCCCGCAAAAGCTAAATATTCCACAAATTTTGTACCATTGAGGAAAGAGAGAGCAGCAACTTTGATTTGGCCAATAAGAGACTGACCTGAATGGAGAGGTGGGAGTCGAGAAGGTGACCTTTAGGTGGGGATTCCCAAGAGACAGCTGTGTCCAGAGAATTGGCTCACTAAAGTGATAGCAGGAAGTGGCCAGTCATAATTTTCACTGTTACCTGGCAAGAAGCTTTTTTTTTTTTAAAAAAGATTTATTTATTTATTTATACAAGCACTGGCTACAGTCAGAAGCGCAGGAGGGTGAGAGAATTCACCAGAGCCAGAGTGGGGAACAGAGCAGGCAAAAGGACTGAAGTACACTGCTGAGGGGAGCAGCGGGCGGCAGGAGAGGTCTGCGCGCCATGTGGGACCCTCCTCCAGTGGCCGGGCAGCAGCTGGGGATCGAACCAGCACTGTAGAGGCTGCCGGCAGCCTCGCAACCCAGCGCTCAACCACTGCGCCACCAGGGAGGCCCTGGCAAGAAGCTTTTTAACATTTCTTCATTACTTTACTTATAGCTTTAGAAACTTTACTACATGTTTTTTGAGAATTTTCTTATGTGGGCCTTACATGCTCGTGGGCTTTTGGGTTGTGATTTTCTGGCCATAGAGCAGTCTTGACAAATACATGACTGCTCTGTAGAGGCCTTGGAGCGACCATCATGTGAGAGTAGGTTGTTTCATAGAGTTCATTCTCATTTATTAGTTCAGAGGGGAGAAACCTCTGTTCTTTTCTCCCTGATGTTTTAGCCAAAGAAACAAGGGACTCAGTGGGGCAGTCAAAACATAAAGCTATATGTGCACAGAGAACCTTATTTTCAGATTTCTATTTAAATGTATTTTTAGAGCCAGCAAAAGATGCCTTTGTCAAATAGTAACAGCAATTCTTCTTGCTTGTATTTTAAAAATAGGCCTGCTTTCTGTATGTGAACAGTTGTCATCTGACAGAGTATTCTTGGGGGAAAAAAGTGAGTATATAGTTTTGTCAAGAGCAACTGGTGTGTAAAATCCTTTGCCATGAGTTATTTCTGAAATAACTCACAAAGCTCAGTTGGTATACACACAAATATAACCTATATCAAGATACGCAAACCCAGACCACACCCATATCTGAAGGGTGGAAAAGGCAGCCGCAGAGGGTAAGAGTTCAGTAATGAGGTTGTTCTTATCACCCTGGGTCCTCTATGACCTGCAAACATGTTCTCTTGGCTCCTGATTTTTAAAAACATGTTTTGAATTAATTACCCACATTTCAGAACTGGATTTCATGTGAAAATCTAGATTTGCAGCCTTTGGGGGGCAGAAGTGGGGAGATCTGGCCAGTACCTGGCTTACATTCCCTCTGAATATCAATTGGCCAGAAGTGAGAGGAGGCCTCCCACCCCATAGCCAGGCTTGGTCTCCGTCAGCCCTCCATGCAGTGTTCATCTGCTGTTTCCTTACCTCTGAATTCCCTGCCTTCAAAGGGATGCCGGAGAAAGGAGTTCCTGACTTCTGGCTGGAGGAGGTGGCCTTACCATGTGAGAAGTTCCTCAGGCATGAGAAAGTATTCAAAGAACACAGGTCCCAGTAAGACAGAGGCCCACCCCTCAGCAGGGACGGGAACACTTGAGGAATAACACGATGCCATAAGCCCCTCTGTGGGGCAATCTGCAGCTACTGTAGCATAAGTTTGATCCCCGGCCAGGGAGCTACCCACATGGCACAGCAGACCTCTCCTGTCACGCCCGCTGCTCCCCTCAGCAGTATATGTCAGTAGACCTGTTCTGCTCCCCACCCTGTCTCTGGTGAATCCCTTCACCCCCCACACCTCTGGCCTATACCCCAGTTCTTATATGCATAAATAAATCTTTTAAAAAGAAAAGCCCCTCTGTGATTCCAGCCTTTCTCTCTTCTCTCCTATGTGTACAGAGCCTCCTGGCTTCTTATGTTCTTCCACTTTTGCATTTCAGTCTCTGTGCTACTCCTTTTCATTAGAATGGACTCCTATAGTCACCTTTCCACCGTGTTGAAAAATGCAATTGCTACCAACCGTGTATGTATTGTCCCCTCCTCCTGGTCGCATTAGCATCTCAAGCATACCACAGCATACTACTCCTCTTTGGAGGGCATTTATCCCTCTGCACCTTTTATTACAGTTGTAGCAATGGAAATGGTGGTGGTAATTATGATAAAAATGGTTTCTATTAATGCCTGCTGTGTGTAAGGACCCATTTTATATTCTTTATATATATAGTCTTTGTTTTAATCCTGATAATGAAGTGAAAATTACACATTATAGCTATTTTGCAGATAAAGAAAATGGGGCTCACTGAAGTTGAGTGACTTGACCAAGGTCACACAGCTGGTAAAAAGCGGAGGCTGAAGTGAAACAGGTCTGCCTGACTCTAACCCAGCATCCTGCCCTGTGTCATGTCTCACGTGGCAGAGCACTAGGTCTGTTCCCCTTGTTACCCTTCGCAGATGCTTGAATATATTGAACCTGTGTTTCCATGCTGTGTTTGAAATTTATTTCATGATTTGAGGGAAAATATAAAAAGCTTTTGAGAATCTGGGTTTTTTTAATCTTAAACATTTTTTAATACATCACAGGGCAAAATAACCTTTTTACATGTGTTGGGAGAGCACAAAGCATCAAAGAACCCCTGGGTACAGCCTGCGACTTCCTGGAGCTCTGCATTCAGAGCTGTCAGATTTTAACAAATAGCTCTCTAGATAATTGCTTAATTATTATATCTGTCAAGAAAAAGCCTTCACAGCCGTCAAGTGCTGCATTTAAAAATATCATTTAATTCTAAAGTTTGAAAAAAATCTCTCCTGTGATGTCAGCAAGACAGGAGAAGCCCACTGGCACCTGATCATTCTCAGATTTATAAGCATAAAAACAGACACAGAGAGTGGAAGCTCAGGTGAGGGGAGAGCAAGGGGAAGCATTGTATTTTCTTCCATGAACACCCCCTTCACTTGATTATCTTTCAAATATCTTTTAAATCTCCAAGATTCTATTTGACATGAAAAAAGTTCTGAAAGTACATTGTGATGATAGGTGCACAACATTATGAATATACTTAATGCCATTGAATTGTATACTTTAAAATTGTTAAAATGATAAATGTCACATGTATTTTGCCACACTTAAAAAAAAATCAGATTGAAGAGAAGCTGGACTTTTGAACCTGATAAAGCCTGGCTTCTAATCTCACATCTTCCAGTTACCAGCTGAGAAACTACTTAGTGTTTCTAAATGTCATTTTCCTTACCTGTAAAACTGGTAATAAACTACTGACATTAGATGATTGTTGTATAAATTAATGTGATTAGTCTGTCACATGTAGTCATTATGTAAAAAGGTGAAGAGAATGAGCATATATTAAATAAGGAAAAGCCAGTGGACTATATTAAGAATAAAGTACCATATTGCATAATTGCTTTTTGCCTCTAGGAAATAAGAATATTGACATGGAATAATAATATAAGCGCCAGAGGGTTTTAACTTTGAAGAAACAGAGGCACAGGCCTTCCATTGACTTTCCAGTGATTAAGAGGCTAAAAGGAATGCAAAATCACTACTGCCTGAATCTGATGTTAAGTTCTGTTTCTTTTGTTCTGCTTCCTCGTTCTTGTAAATTGTGGGATTTTTCTTTGATATTAGTTTTAAGTCTTTGGAACACATCTTGATATGGATTCTCAGACACACATACGTGTGTGCTCACATGCTTTGTATTTATCTGGAGATCAGACATCCTACAATATTAGCTATTTGAAACATAATCCTGTTTGCAGAATCATACCCCAGACCACTCTGTATAGCAAATACCAGATAGAAGTCTGTAGAGATGTGTCCTGCCCCCACCAAGATGTTGGTACAAAAACAGCAACACAAGAAGAACAAGAAAAATAAGAGGTGACAGTAGAGAAAGAAGCAGGAAAGTGACTAATGCCCTTTGTGAGTCTTGCTTTCGGCTGGCGTCATGTGTAACGTTGAGTCTTCATTGTTCAGAAAAGGCTAAATTTCATCCCTTTGCTCTTCTTAGGAAAATGGAGTTGTGTGCAAAATATTTTTGAAATGTATGGGAAATGATGAAACTAGAAGTTTAATGCTGGAGAGGTAGAATTCAGTTATTTGGAAAAATCATTCTGGAGTGAAGTATTGCTATGTTTACGTATTCTATTTATATTGAGACATGAATAGCTGAATTTTGTTTGTTTTATCACCCAATCTCTTTTTTCAGATTCCAGGACTTGACACAATGCCTGCCTCACCACCGTGAGCACGCAGTATTTATTGAAAGAATGAAACGCTCTATAATATGAACTTGTCTGCTTGCGTGAATAAGGACATGCATGTTTAAAACTATTCCTTTTCTATTTTTCAGAGCAGAAACCATTCTCTCGGGACCATTCTCAGATAAGAGACACCAAAGCTGTGACCTATGCCAGTGCCACCACCACCACCACCACCACCACCACCACCTCCACCTCCCCCGCCTCTGGGGGCTCCGCCCCCTCCACCACCATCAGCACCCCCGGTAAGACCTGTTTTTCAGGCGGGTTTACTGTCAAGTATAAGCGACCTTGAGTATACCTGAGCAGAAGGTTTTAAATGTCCAGAACCTGCCACCATCTCACTCCCCTATGGCAAGTTAGGTAACTGGCTCTGGAGCTGCAGAGTGATTCCGATGCAGTCTGGCCCAGATATTTCTCTCCCCATTCCTTAGCAGCTCTATCCTCCACCTCATTGTTGCCTGCAGAGATCTACTTAGTTTCTCTTGTAATTCCTGCTGCTGGTACAGGCTGCTCTGATGGACTCTTCCCTCTCACTGCACTGCACTGTCAGGTTCCAGTGTGTGACTAGGCCGTGCTAATGACAGCGTGGACTTCAGTCCCTATTTCCAGCTCAAGGTAAAGAAGTGTCCTCTGGAATACCACAAGGAAATATCACTCTCTAAATGAAACCTCTGTATCTCCACAAAACTGAATTCCATCTATTTCACTTTGTTTTTCCATAGCACTTTCTCTGGGTTGAATAGTTTGGTTAGGTTCTAGGGAAGGTGGTTATTTTGTTTTATAACAAGGATTCTCAACCTCAACACCCCTGGCATCAGAAGCCAGATCACGTTGGTCGTTGAGGGCTGTCCTGTACATTGCAGGCTGCTTAGCAACAAGCTCCCCTCTTGTACTCTGTTCCACATGCCACCTTAGGGAGCGCGGTCTAGCACAAAACTGGAACAGCAGCTCCTGTTATCCGTGGAAGATGAAAGATACTGGCAGTAAGGCGATGGTGCACACAGAGCTAGGGCTACCCAGGGAAGAAGCCAGCAGTAGAGGTCCTGCCAGCCTTCCCCAGGCACCCTCCTCTCAGATGCAGGGGTGACATGGTGGTTGTGAAGAGAGGGCCTGACACCGCCTGCATGGTACAGGTCACAGTGTGAGTGAGAGTCTGCCTAGGATGTCACTGAACGCACAACGTTAGCTTTGCTGCAAGCCCACCCTATCCCGTAGGCAGAGAGCTCCCGGAAACGTGGCCCTTACCCTTCAAGACAGTTGAAGAAAACATCAGCATGAATTTCCTCTGAAAACTATAGAATACACACAGACACAGACACACACACACATATGTATGTACTAATGTTCTTACTATATAGAAAGAATAGAAATGAATATTGAAGTCCCACTGCTGAACTTGACTCCACAAGGAATAAAGGGGATGAACGATTTATAAATAAAGGGAAGACCCGTAAAATTGAGAAGGGCAGCTTTGTAACCTCAGATAGCATGAATTCAGACACCGTAAACTTAGTCTGAGTAAATAAGTTTATCAAAGTCAGTGTTGTTGGAGATTTGGGGAACTAAGTCCTTTTAAACACTGCTGGTAACATGCAAACACCTGGGACTTGATAACTTAGGGAGGCTTTCTATATTGTTCTCTGGTAATGGAGTAGTTTTAATTTTGAGACTGATTTAAGAATTTTGTTTTAAAGGAACCAAAAGAGTTTATACAAGAATGTGCATAGCAGTGCTGTTTATTCTAGTAAAAGATTAGATCTTAAATGATTTATGAAAATAAATGAAATGTATATCATCCTGTTTATTAAAAATTGTGTTATGCCATAGTGTTAATTAAAAATTTTTATTTCTACCTACCCTGTTTCTATAAAAGTAAATATGAAATGATGGAATAAAAACAGTACTCACTTTTCACTTAATGGAATCAGCTACATAATATATGTGATTAATAGAAAAAGTTTGCCAACACCTATTTATAAGACTACTGGCTTCATTTGGCCTTCCTGCCTTCCCAGCAGCTGTGATCTTGTGTATTCACTCAGGTTGTGTCCTCCCCTGACCACCTCTTAACTGTGGGTGCTCCACCTACAATATCTGGCCCCTGCCTGCCTCTCAGACCTCAAGATATGTGTCTCTCCCCATGTCTCCCTGGCACAGCTGTTCTTTCTACCCGGAAAGCTCTCTCTGCTCAGCTCACCTCCTGGAGACATCATTGCATCATACCCCACTCTGGTTTTTATAACACACTTTTAAACCCCTCCTTCATGTCAGATTTTAATTTTGCTTACATTTGACTGGGGTTCACATTTTATGTTTTGTGGAATGGATGAATGGATGGACAAGTGAGTGGACAGATGGAACGACGGACAGACAGATAAATGGATGGATGATATATCTGTGTAAATAAGATTAAGAAATGCAGTTAAGTCTCTTATTAACCAGTGTTCAGGATTTTGAACATCTATATTCATGGGCGAGCATGTCCAGTTTCATTACATTTTGTGGGTTACATCTGATGCTCTAATGAAAAGCAGCCTATCAGACTTTATCTGAGCTCTGAAAGATCTGAGGATTAGACCAGGGCCACCTTTTTTTATTTCTCCATCCTGCCTCTCAACCATCCCATCCTGCTCCTTCTCATTCCCATCTCCTCTTTTCTGAAACAGGGGAGTGGGTCAGAGACACAGCTGATGGTGATGGCTGGACCAGGCTTTACTGAAAGCAGACCACATCCTCCAGCCTGTCTCCAAATTGTCACGTGCCTCTGCCTTTGGAGTTCTGTGACTTTGTTTCATCCCATCAACATCAAAATTGCCCACGTGGTGCCTTGGCCCACTTTTAATTAAATTTTTATTGCTTTGGTTGCAAGAGGTAACTTTTTAAAAAAAATCTAAAGTAAGTACAATAGATTTGGAGACATAAAATGCAGCCGAATTTTATCAAAATTTTGTTTTCAAATCTTTGCTAGATTTGATAGTATTTTAGATGACAGAATAAATGCCTTGAGAGCCTAAACTTTCGGTTTTCACAATCCCATCAAACTACACAGGAGGAAGGAAATCATGTGTCTCTGAGTGGCAGATAAATTCTTTGGTGTTGGGTGTCCGGACAAAGCCTGACAATAGGGTTCATGGCCACAGCTTGTGTGTTTATTTAAAAAGTACCCTTGTAAAGCTTTGTAACATTATTTTTTAATGTTGCTAGTCAAGCTTAAACTTAAGGAGGAAACAGTTCAGCCATGGGAGGCTGTATGGTACTTTAAAAACAAAAAGGAAACTGGTTTGATAATAAATGATAATCATTTATTTGCCCTGAAAAGCAAAACTGTAACTAGGAAGACACCATGGTGCCATATATTTCTGCCTTCCTGTTCCAGGGTTAACATTTAATAAACTATTGAAGGGAAATTACAGAGAGAACCCTATTGTGGCTCCTCACTGTTCTGTTCCCTCATTACTGTTTGCCAGAGTCTTTGCATTCAGGAAACTCGGTGAGATAATTGTTCTCCTTGTAGTCTAAGGATTGCTTGATTCGGGGAGGAGGTAGACTTTCCAGTGTCAGGAAACATCAGCTGTGGCTTACAACGGGAAGTTTTCCCACCATCTGTAGCGCACAGGGGCTCTCATGGCATAGAAAAGCACGTCAATCTGTGAAAGGAAACATGGAAAATGGGGTGGTATCTGAAGTCCCATGAGACCCTCTTTTGGAGTTTTGTGTTTGCTGTGCTTAAATAAAGCAAGCAGGAGTGAGGAGGCTTAGTGGAATTGCATGTTACCCTATATTCTAGAAAAAAAGTAATTTGCATCTTTACTGGTACATTTGGAATAATGAGAGGCTTAAAAAATCTTAAACTCTGTCACTCACTTAGGTTCTCCTGACACTGGTGCTTTGATTAGTGTTGTTAATGAGGGATGGAGGACAGTTCCCTGGGGTTGACCTGGCCAGTGGCACAAGGAGAAGGCTGTTGCATGTGGCCAACTTTATGAGGATGGTATTAAATTGACATTTCGTCTCTGCTTAACAGTTTGCAAAACTATCCCTCTGTCTTCAATTAACTTATAAAACTCGATTCTCCCTCTCTTTGCCCATTTGTACCCACCAGCGGTAACACTGCTTCAGTGTGAAAAGACAAGCTAGTCTTTGCTGCAGATGTACTTGGTCTGTAAGAGAGAGAGGTGTGGCAGGACCTGCCACTCATGTTTCCAAAGGGCCATTCAGGACCGTATTTAAATGTGTTTCTTTTTTCACAGCTGTTTGGTGGGAGGGGTGGCGGGAACAAAAAGGAAAAGGCTGGCCGTGGTGTGCTGCAGACAGCGATTATGCACTAATAATGCCCAGAACTTGGCAAGAAAAGCCTGCCAGGGCTTGTTAAAGGCCTTTATCAAATTTCATAGGAGTCCATGAGTGTCAGCCACTCTCACACTGAGTCTGAGCCAAGGGGCATGGCAGGAAGGTGTTGTGGGGTATGAGGCCGTGGGTGACCCTCCAAAGCCGCAGCCATCTCTGTTGCAATGATTACTGCTCCAAGCTTTATTTTACTCTGGAATCTGCTGGCTCTTAGGCTTTGTAAGCTTACAGTCATGGTGTAATGAAGGATTCCTAGAAATTGCCTGAGAACATTCCCTTAGGTTTGTCCTTTCATACAGACACTGTTGTAACTGGGGGGGCCCACCATGGTTTGGGATCTTTGAGGCCCTGTACACCTTTCCCAAATTGCTCTTTTCTGCCATAAAAATGAAAAAGCCCACCAAGGTCAGATGGATGTTGGCAAGGAGATATCCAGTCCTGACAGGGTAGACAAAGCTACAGGGGTGGGGAGGGTGTTTGGGGAGAGGGTAGGGCAGACAGTAGCAGCTGTGTTTCCTAGAATGTTGAATATGAAAGGACAGGTTAGAGGAAGTGAAAAGAGCAGGCTCACATAGGTGTACTATATAAAACTATATAAAACCAGCTGTATAAAACAAAGCTGTGTCTAGAAGCTTGCTCCTACATGCTGAGATAAAGGAAAAGAAATAAAAAACATACCTGTCCTCGGTTACTGGGGGCAGGATGTTGTCTTTTATGTATGATTCTGTGTTTTTTTTCAAAAATCTATATGGGGCATATGCACTTTTATTATTAGAAGAAAGGTCTTAAAATTTAAGAGAAAAGAGTGAGTGATCACTTACCAATGGACCAAGCTGGTCATATAGTGATTCTGTACAATGATGAGAGCAGACATCTACTGAATAGCTCTAATTCA